TACTTTCAAATGTAATGTTAGTTATTTGTACAGTTAGTAGGGTTAATTAATGGGCCAGCTCAGCATTAGTTGTATTTTTGGTATTACACATGTATATACTTTGTACTACATTGAGAAATGAGAGTGAGCTTTCACTTTCCCAATTCTTGTTTCTCTCTCATGACTTCTCTTTCACAGAACTCTCTAGAAGGACTCCATTGATGCTACAGATCGAGCTTCAAGATCATCATTACTCACATATTTAACAAACTGATATATTTATATTTGCCTACTCTAATTCTACTGAAAAATATTGTTGTTTATCACCTAGAATCAGCAAGTAATGTTGTTGACTCAACAATCCAACCGTTGCACATTAATTAGAAAGTAGGAAAGTCGCTTCAGTTTTATTATCGTAGGACAAGTATAAGAATAACATACAGCCAAAAATAACTCTATGCTTCAGCATGTGTGGGGTAAAGATACTAATATACTTGGCTAATCTAATTGTATAGGTGTGGAGATACAAGGATTACAACGACAAAACACCGTTACGAGATTGAGGTATACTCCAAATAATCTTCGCCACTGCAATTTATGCACAATTCATAACTACTCTTTCTACACAATTGATAACTACTGCTCTAAACATTCTTAAATATTATTACCATAATTATTGGCCTAATAAATAACTATATTGCTATTATATTTTTGGTAATAAAGTCCGACAATGTCTTTGATCTTTCAATGAAGATTATAGTACTTGTGTTGCCTTTTGATGGCCATGAACTCAATTGTACCTATTTTATTGTATTATTGCCTTTTCATCGTATGGGGAATTCGCCTTTTCACCTTTATCAAGTCATCTTCCATATATTTGAGGTATAGAAAAATCTCAAAAATGTGGATTGAATATTTGAAAAATAAACAAGTAAACTGAGAATTCATCTTAATTTAAACCAAACGTTGTTTTCATCTTAATATTTTATGATTTTGGATGTCCTATTTTGAGAAATAATGAAGTTCGTATATATTTTGTTTTCTCTAAGCATAGTTGGGGGAACAACACAATGGGATTTTGAGGGGAGTTGGTAATAATGTTAGGAGTCTTTTTTTTATTCTGTGTCACAAAATTCAAGTTATGTTCATTCTTATATCTCACAAAACTTAAGTGATATCGATTTGTTTCTTAGCTATTCTTAAATTTTTTTGAGAAGTATGGACTTTGAGATGGAAAAGATAGATACTGATATATAGAGTCTCCTGAGATATACCTCCTGGAAAATTGATGAAAGTAAAGAATGTCATGCTTTTTGTTGGGAAAAGCACTATAGAGGTTTGCTTTAGAAAGAAAAGGTGAATGCTTTAGAGAACAACTAATCACATGGTATCTTACTACAGCCTAGAGCTTTATGAGTAGTGTGTCAACACATGACCTTTTTCAATGATAACTCATTATTCCTATTAGAATATATAACTTTGAAAGAATCAGAGGAACAGATACAACTTTCTTGGCTCATGATGCTAAAACTAAAATTGGATGCAAAGTTGTTGAGCTCAATTTTGACATTTTAAAAGTATACTAAACCTTTCTCATTTTCTAGCTTGCTCCGAGGAAGGTTTGAGCTTTACATCTACTTTCTAAATGACAATTCATGCTACACACTTAATTTTGGAACATTTCATTAACAAGTTTGTGCAGTATATTATATAGAAATCCAGCAAAAGTATCTTTAAAGTAAGTGTATATAAGGTATTTACATTTATTGTAATCGTGTCTCTGGTAGCATCAAACCTTTTCTCATCATGAAAATTGTTTTTTCTCAGTATGTCACTAATAACCTAGCATTACTCTCTAAATGTTGTAAAGGATTGTTCTTGATAAAAACTTTGAGTCATTTTCCTTTATGCAGGGCTTTTCCATATTTGTTGAGCTTTTTTTTCCTTACTTTTTTCGTAAATTCCCTACTTTAGGCTTCTTCATGTAATAGATGCGAAGTTAGCATTAACTTCTAATTCGGGGAGCGAGGTTTTATGTTTCTGCTTTTACTCTCTTGTATAAATATGTGTGGAGCTCACTAACTACTTCGATGATAAGAATGAGGACTAAGGATTAATACTACAAGACTGACACCTATAAAAGATTTTGGGATAAAATGGAAGAAATAAAAATGACATATGTTGATGGTTTATGCTGCTGGAGAATGAGTATTTTTTCTTCCATGCTTACAACTTGAAAGCTGAAGGCTGCCTGTGAAAATCTGGAATAAGCTACAGTATGAAAATTAATATATAAACATATTTATTGGTTTATTCTTTTTTATTTTAAAATTAATTGGTTTATTTATTTATTTTATTTCCAATGATAAACTTGTAAAGCTATTTAATTCAACATTCAAATTCTTACTTCAAACTCACAATCCCAATGTTCTCTTACAATACGTTTGGAATCCTCTAAATTTGTTATTCTTATATTCTCATACCCAATTTGCTACAAATTTATTCATATTTTGCGGAGCTATTTTTTTTTGTTCACTTTAGACTTTAAAGTTGACAAGTGCTCATATATTCTTTTGACGAACATTGTTGCCAGTGGCTGAACTGAGTGGTGTGAGGGGAAAACCCTTTATTTGAAAATTACATTATATAGATATAGTAACAACGATCTCTTTTCGGTTACATGTGAGCTATTAAATATCCTTGATATAAGAAAAAAAATCAAGTATAATAGTAAATGGGTTCACAATTACTTTAGGTCATAGGTTCAAATTCCAACAGTCATATAATAGATTTTTTAGAATCCCTTTATATAAATTTTTGATTCCGCAACAGACTGTTGCTTTCTAAATTTTACGTCGAATCAATATACAACCATGGAAATTCTACAATATTCAATAACTAATGTATAACATTTTTCAGTTTTACAGACTTTGACTTTATAAATTCTTATTACTATTATTTTATTCATCTACTTTAATTGACAATGATTATTAATGGCACGCCCAGTGGGACAATTAATTTATAGAATTTGTAGACAAATTTGCGTCGATAAAATAAAATCAGGCTGAAAAATATTGCAATAATCGCAGTATTTGATTTCAAATAATATGAATGTACAATCTCTATAAATTCTCTAATTCTTCTTTTCAATAGAAAATAAATTCAAGGGCCTTTGAGCTTGATCTTGAATCTATATTTGTTGTCACGAACGATGATCTTGAGTTCAACTAGTACGAATTTTGATTTGAACTCGTACTCCTTGAATCTTGATTTGTTCTTCGTTCTTGAGCCTGAACTTGATTTCTTGAACTTGAACTTCATTGCTTGAAGCTTTAAACTTGTAGAGAAATTTGCGGCGTTTGATCCACGAGCTCTCTCTTGCTTCTTGTTATAACTTCTGGTGTCATTTCTGGATTACGAAGACCCATATTTATAGTTTTGGGAGGGGAGAATTATGATAAGAACAAACTCTTTCCGACCAATCAAATTGAAGTGTGAGAAGGCCTCATTTGATTGGCTAGAACATGTCACTTGCACACATGGCGCGATAATTTAGCTTGGCATGCCTTGTCATTTTGACACATGTCACGATCTCATTGGCTCTTCCATTTGACTTGGTGTGTATAACAACCCGACCGGTCGTTTTGAGAGTTGTAGTCCTATTCCCCCATTTACTACTCATTTTGTGCTTTATAGCTATTATGTGACTTCGGGGGGTAGTTGGTTCGGGTCCGGAGGGGTTTCAGAATGAATTGAGACACTTAGTCTCAAGGTTGGAAGCTTAAGTTGAAAAGGTTGACTAGATATTGACTTATGTGTAAACGACTTCGGATTGGAGTTTTGATGGTTCTGTTAGCTCTGTTGGGTGATTTCGGACTTAGGAACGTATCTCGATTGTGATTGGGAGGTCCGTAGTTGAATTAGGCTTGAAATGGTGAAGTTAAAAATTTATACGTTTGACCGAGAGTGGACTTTATGATTACCGACTCGAATTGGAGTTTCGAGAGTCGAAGTAGGTCCATGGCGTCATTTGTGACTTGAGTGCGAAATTTGAGGTCAATCGCACGTCATTTGATAGGTTTCGGCATCGTTTGTAGAAGTTAGAATTTTCTTAGTTTCAATAGATTTGAATTGGGGTGCGATTCATATTTTTGATGTTGTTTGATGTGATTTGAGGGCTCGACTAAGTTCATATCATATTTTAGGACTTATTGGTATAATTGGTTGAGGTCTCGGGGGCCTCGGGTGAAGTTCGGATGGTTAACGGATCGAATTTGGAGTATGGATGATTGCTAAAGCTAGGTGTCTACGGGTGTAATCGCACATGCGGAGCTTTGATCGCAGGTGTGAGCTGGGAAGTGCAAAAGCGGAGTTTGGATTGGGAGTTGTGGAGCACGGATGCGGAAGAATTTCCGCAGGTGCAGACTCGCACATGCGTGTGGAGGATCGCAGAAGCAGAGATGAGCTTGGAGTCACTGGTCTGCAGATGTGGATGTTTTTGCGGAAATGCGCACCCACACACTACAAAAAATAGTCAAATTGCGGTAGTTATTTTTATAAATTGCGGCAGTCGGTAACTTCCGCAATTTGTTGTTGTAGCGGTTCACAAAACTCCTGCAAGAAGGCTCGCCGCAATCAATTTGCAGTAGTTTTGTCGCGACTGCCGTAATTAATTAGCAGCAGTTAATTTGCGACAGTTCAACCTCAGTAAATTAAAAATTAAATTATGATTTTTTAAATATTTTTTTACAAGTTCTGGCAGTCTGAACCTATGCAACATAGGAAATAATTATTTAACAATACACAAAGTACGACGGTCAAAACCCACGCAATTCATTGAACGTATTAATTTCTTTTACTGCATTTTTTTACAAATATTGAACATTGAATATTATCTACTAATGAATATATCAACACTTAGAAATATTAACATATTTAGTATCACAAAAGTATTACTTTCATATATAAAGTAATTCAGTAGTTTTCAAACTAAATTATAACATAAAACACTCACCCTAGCTATTCTAACATCCGCTCCAATCACATAATTACATTGTCATAATTAATTATCTAATTCAATTATAAAGAACTTCAATTATTGTCACTTGGATTACTGCCATCAGATGATCTTCTTGCGTCCATGGGTGATAGGGATCCACTAGCTGCATCTTTTGGCTGCAAACAAAATAAAATAATAAGATCTTTTGAATGCTAATTATAACTTGAGCTATTTCTTGAATAAAAATCTGAACCAATTCCATCCTTTATTTTGTAGTCAAAATTTTAAAACACTTGATACTAGGAATTCAACAATACACATACATAACTATAATCCCAGAAACAAGAAAGTGTCAACAGGAATAAAGTACAATCGATCCACTAAAGAAGAGCGGAGAAAGAAGATCTTTAGTTTTTTTCATATGAGCAGCTCCTGATGCAGATAATATCAGTTGAAAAAAAAAAAGCACAAGTTTATTTACCGTTATAGGAGGAGAAGCAAAGAACCCCGCAAATTGCTCTGGTATTGTCCCTTCTTTCATTATCATATATGCCTTGAAAGCATTCATCATTTGTTTGTGAGAATTCACTATTTCTTTGTAGTTCTCTTGACTTTGGTTGTGAGCATTCAACAATTTATTGTAGTTCTCTTGGCAATGGTTCAAACATGAAGCATCACTACTTGAAGCATTCATACCACCAAAATGAGGTCTTGCATGTTTAAAAACTTTGCTGGAGACAACTCCTAATCCTAAGCACCTTACCCTTCCAGAGTGCTCTTTTCCTAGCACTTTACCAATAACATCATTCGGCGAAACTTCAGACTCATCCACCGTGCTTTGGCTCAAACCAAGCTCAATTGTTTCCTAAATATTATTTGTCACAACATTAATAAGTAACTAAATGCACACCAAGACAAGCAAAAAAGAGATAGTTTCTGAAATGCATCAAGCCATACACTTTAAAAGTATAAAATACACCTAAATACAAAAGCAACACCAAAAAATAACTTCATCCTTATAGGTCTCATTTTAATTGAGCTTCTATGTTCGACGGGATTAAGTTTCTATAGGTCTCATCCATCAAAGACAGAGTTTTACTTCTAGTTTCTATAGGTCTCATCCATCAAAGACAGAGTTTTACTTCTAGTTTCTATAGGTCTCATCCATCAAAGACAGAGTTTTACTTCTAGTTTCTATAGGTCTCATCCATCAAAGACAGAGTTTTACTTCTCCTGACCGCATTTTTCATCCGTTCGACATACACATTTTCTCTCATTATATACAAGAACAAATACTCCAGCCTCTCTTTCAGTATAAAGTATACAATCTCGAAATGAAGTTCATAGCCTTTTTTTTTTAAAGCAGCAATAATGAAGAAACAAATTTGCATTACAGAACAAGATCAGTAATCATGTTTTTTGTTATTGTTTAGATCAGTATTCATGTTGTTAAACTTCAGAGTAGGAGAAAAATATAATAGCAGCTTTAAAAGAACAGAAGAACATATGAAAAAAGTGTCAGGCCCTGCAGATAATAACCAAAAGAAGATAATATTTCAAACAAGAAAGGAAGAAACAAAGTGTAGACTTATTTGACATTACAACCCATTGGTAAATATAAAAAAAGATACATAACTAGTCTGGAACAAGCTGAAACTAATAGTAAATGAGACAGATACATATATCAGATTTCATACCCAAAAAGGAAAAATAACTTTCAACAACCACAAAGATAAAAAAGAAACTTACGCATATCTCCTTTGCCGCCTCATTCACATATGTACCATCTTGTTTCTTATAAGTATCAAGATAAAGTTATGCACGTTCAGGCCTTCATCCAGTCTCAGCCATCTATAAATAAAATAACCAACAGAATAACTTAACTGGAATAGTTACATAAGTTAGTTTAATAATTAAAGTAAAATGATATGAATTAACATCTTTCACCATTTCAGCCCTTCTTCTGGAGTTAGGTTTGGAGCCACCTGTATGTGTAAATGTTTGTTTCTTTCGAATTTCAGTATTCCTTTTGCACATTTCCTTACAAACAAAAAAAACTTGAAAGTCAATCACACAAATAACTAAATATAATCAAACATACAAATTGAAGTAATTAAATAAATACCAAAGTTGTTTCTTTAAAACGGTAATCAACAAATGAAGTCCATTGATTCCATAGAATCCCAGCCGGAATATTTTCCATAATCTGAGCTGTACTTTTGAGTGGATCATAGAATGCTCTCCACAAGTTTAGCATATTCGCGCTCCACTTTTTTCAAATAGAATTATAAACATAACGTCATGCAACTGACTCGACTGTCTTAAAATAAAACTGTTGCTTCAAGAATATAACATTGGTTAGATTATCTGCTACATGCAAATATGAAGTCCAAAAATAATATAGACGTGTAGCAGAAAGAATTAGAGCTTATACCTTTACAATTTGATCAAATACATGGTCGAAGTATGATATAGGTAAATCTGGCCATTTCTCAAAGTGAATTGGAAATAAGGAGCAGTCAGTTGCTAAAATTCCACAAAAGCCAGCAAGAAGGCCTTGTGCTTCTCCAAATGGTTCGTCCGGGTAATCGAATTCAAGCACGATACGTTCTTTACCAGATAAATTTAGAACATCCCTAACTTTCACTTTGAGCCTCTTCCTATTTTCTTTTGAATCTTTAATAAAAAAAAGCCAAGTTTAAACAAACAGAAAAAAATAATTACATATATATGCTATTAACAGAAAAGTATCGATTGCTCTATTTTCTGCCATACACAGTCTTTCTAATGCCCAAGCATTCTTCATTATCACTAAGTAGCTCAAATTTGGTACTTAAAAAATAAACCAGCATCATTTTGGGGACTTTTAGCAGAGAAGAAGAAGAAGAAGAAAAAGAAGAAGAAGGGAAAATTAAGAGAATTAAAAAATAAACTAGCAGCAATTTGAGAACTTTTAGCAGAGAAGAAGAAGAAGAAGAAAGTTTACCTATAACATCTACAGTCCAATGTTGCATTTCGAGGATCAGAAGAAAATTTCGAGGATTTCGTCTCTAAGCAAGTCAAAAAAGTTAAAACCATCACTAGCTAGGCCTAATTATGGCTGTCCAACGGGACGGGACGGGACGATATTTAGCCGGGACGGTGGCGGAACGGGACAAAACGAGACGGGATAAACGGGACGAAACGGTAGTCTCATCCCGTCCCGCTAACAAACGGGACGGGATGGGACGGGACGGACGGTAGGCCCATCCCGTCCCGCTAACAAACGGGACGAGAGGGGACGGAACGGGACGGGATGGGACGGGACGGGTTCGCGGGACTTAAGTGTCGTTTTAAAAAAAAAAATTATTTAAGTATTGAGTTTGGAAACCGTTATTCTTTTGACAATTACTATGTTTTTAAAGTTTGCAACAACTAGTTTTTTGAGTTATTTAATAAACTTAAAAATTAAACAAAAATTAGAAAACTTAGTAGAGAATTATAAAATATTAAAACAAAAGACTTGTAATGAAATATTCTAGTAATTATAAATTTATAATAGAGTTATAATTTATTTAATATAATTTCAAGCCACTAAGTAACTAAGTAAGAGTGTAAGACAATTCATAAAAATAATTCAACGCTTAGAGCCTTTTATTTTATTAATAGAACTTTCAAATCTCACATACAAATATAATTCTTTTGAAGA